TACTGTATTAAAAATGTAAGCATTTTGAGGGCACAGCTTTGTGTAAATAGGTGGTGCTTTGTACCAGCAAGTGTTTAGGCAGATCCTCACAACTAGGACCTATTTTTGTGATACATAATTTAGAATGCTTTGCGTGTAAATTAACTATGTGAAGTTGTGTTAAAATATATACTGTATTAAAAAAATACAAGATAATTGTTGAAAATATTGATTATTAGGCTTGGTGTGATGCATTTTAAATCAAATCACAATCTTTTCATACTGTAAACCTAAACAATTAATGTCTTAATATAAGCCATATTCATAAACAAGTAATGTCTGAATCAAACAATAACATTAGTAGTGCATTAACCTAAACACAAACTTAAACATCGCTTTAACTTACCTGTCAATCAAAACAAGTAATAACTTTACCAATCATAAATAAGCAATGCTTTAATCAAAGTATAAAAGTATAAACAGGTGATACCTTACTTAAACATGAACGTAAACAAGTGATTCCCTGCATTCAGGTACAGAACAAAAAGATTTTTTTTGTAAACGTCTGTCATCCAAATTATGTTTATCTGTTTTGTTTTTCCACATCCAGGAGATGGTGTACATCAAACGCTGGCAGCATGTGAGGAGATGCTCTGATTGGATTCAATCTTCCCTCCTTCGTCCTCTTCATCTTTTAGTCTGACAGACTAATGCTCTGCTGGAAGGAGATTTAATTGGCTCTAAACAGACAGTCAGGACAATAAACAAAAAGAATAAATACAAATGCAGTCACGACAGCAGAGGGAAAGAAGATGAGCTAACCAAGTGGAAATAAAAAGCATCATTTTTTTGTTTTATCTTTTTATTAATTTTTTTCTTAGTCTGGATTATTCCTTCAAGTGGGAATTATTTGGACATTATGTTTACTTTTTTATAACGAGGCTTTTCAGAAAGTGATTTTTCTTTTGGATTTCTGACACTTTTATGCTTCAGTCACGGCTTTTCAGATTTTTTTTAAACAAATAGAATATTTTCCAGCACTTTACCACTGAAGAAAGAAGACTTTATTTTAYATAAGACATCCATCTATATTTGCTATGCTCTTATGATAACCAGCCGCAACATATTTCACACAGGCTAAACGCTTTTAGAAAAGCAATTCTTTCCAGAATTAGTCAAAATCAAAACTTCACAATTCATTCTTCAAAATTTAACCGTGCCTCCCACCAACCCCCCCTACCTGTGCCCGTCCAACCAATCATGGGCAAGCCTCTCAGCCGCCCCGGGTGTTTCAGGAAGAGCTCGTGCTGCCTGGAGAAACATGGAATTGGGGARGGGGGGATGGGAGGTCGGGATATCGGGATGGAAGTGGGTTACGGAGATGGCTACGTACCCCAGCGGTCCATTTACGACACCATGTGCATCAATCAGCAGATCGACAGCCACCACCACCACCACTCTGGGGGCTCAGTGAGGCGGGACGGAGGGTGCGACGGGAGTTTTAGCTACTCCACCAGCGGTTCGCTCAGAGTCAGCCGGTCGGACATGTTCGATTCACAGCCACGCTGCCTGACTCCAAACCCCTCATTCGTACGACGACTCGARGAAAGAGCCATCTACGATTCGCTGAAGCTCGGCAGTGAGGATATAGACGGCTGCCACTCYCCGGGACATTTCAACCGATCAGTTTCTCCTTCTGTGTCCTCGTTCTCTGCGCCAGGAGTGTCCTCGTCGTCAAAGAAACACCATCATCATCACCACCACCACCACCACCARGGAGACAGCACAAAGAGCAGAGACGGTCGACATTCCTGGAAAGCTGTGGCGTCGCCAAAACCTCTGGAGTGTCTGGAGCTCACCACATCTGAGATGATGGACAGGGGAGGAGGGGGATATCTGAACCCAGGGCATTATCCTGCTGGGGGGCAGTCTTCCTCCCTAGCCTCACCCCTCATCTCACCCTTTTCCGGATCACCCCCCTCATCTGGTTACCACACACCGGTGTTTTTCTCCCCAGCAAAACCTCGTCCTAGTCAGAGTCAGAGTCTACGCTGCTCCCCTCCCCATTTGATCCAGTCAAGACATTACTCCCAGACCCAGAGCCTGAGGATGTCACCCCCACATGAGCTCAGGCGGTCCCCTTATAGAGCCCCACTGGTCCAACTGTCTGCTCATGACCTTGAGCAGGACCTGAGGGAGCGAGGAGGAGGAGGGTGGGTCCGCAGCGAGCGGGACCGGGACTGGGAGAGGGAGCGGGAACGTGAGCTGGAGCGGGGYTGGGCCCAGCGGGAGTGGGAGAGGGAGCGGGAGAGGGGTAGGCTGGAGAGAGAGAGAGCCCGGGAGAGGGAGAGAAGAGAGACATCCACTTTTGGGACTTTTGGCTATGGTCGACCTGTTCCCCTGCATTCAGACAGAGACTCTGTGTTCTTAGAGTCTGACCAGGGTCTGGACACGACACCCCTGCTGCTACCTCAGCCTTCACCATCACCCTCCCCCAGCGGGGCTCCCAGAATGGGTACCGGAGCAGTGGGCAGGAACAGAGCCGGCTCAAAGGTTGGTCCTGATAGCATTGGTGGAGGAATGATGCCCAAGTATGAGAGCGGCAGCATCAGTTTGGTGTTAGTGGACAGTAAATCTGGGTGTGGGCCGAGGTTAGTGAGTGAAATTGTAACCGGAAACATGTCAGAGGCAGAACTGAGGGCGGGATACCAAGACAGAACAGAGGTTTGGAACAAATACAATAACGGATCCAGATCCAGCACGAAGAATCTGCCTGAAAAAAGGATGGGCTCCCAGGTGAAAACCCGGCCCCCAGGTCGCGATTTGGAAGGAAAAGTTCAGTCTGGGATGGAAAACAAGGAGCTACACAGAGGAGAATCAAGGAGTGGAGAGAAACCAGGAGGAGTTACAGCTAAAACAGAACGTATTCCTGAAACCTCGAACACAAGTGATGCTGAGAAGAAGGTTGGGCCTGTAGATAAAGTTCGTGTTGAACCTGCTCCTGGTCCTGTGATAAAACCTGAGCATGATGCTGGGGTTAAAGCTAACGCCCAACAGATGGAAATTAAAACTGGAACAGAGGCTGAAGCTAAAGCTAATGCTAATGATTCTGGTTCGATAGCTGAACCCAAAGTTGAAACTAAAACAGAGACAGAGGTTAAGGTTGCTCCTGTGTCCAAACCTGAACCAGCACCAGAAGCCGAGGTTGGTCGTGAAGCAGCAGTGGAGCGTCACAAAGACAACGTGGCTGTCTCTGAAATGCAAACTAAAGATGAAACTCAAACATGCTCTGAGGCTCGAGACAAACCTGAAGCTGCTCCTGCAGAGCCAGTAGAGAAGAAGCCAGCAGAGGTTAATAAAATGGAATCAACCAAACCTGCAAAAAGCTCCAGATCCAAGTCCAAGTCGTCCAAATCCTGCTCCAGGTCCCGACCTGGCACGGCCACAGGGATGCGACCAGGTGTGCTCAGCCCTCGACAAAACAAAGGGCTCCAAGACTTTGAATCAACCGGGCCGCCTGAGAGCATCGAGTCCACCTGGCCTCGCAGGATCATGGTCAGAAAGAGGACCGTTCGTCAGGGAGGGGCAGTCCATAACCTCCCTATTCTCCCCCCACTCCCCTCTGTCCTTTCAGCGCTCGAGAAAAGACGTCCACACTCGCGCCTCGGCTCGGAGAACCCGCTAACAAATATAACAAACTCCATTGTGGGCCGATGTTCACTGAAGGAACCGTCTCACACAGAATCCGGGCAGGGCAGCAGTTTGGTGGGCAGGGCTTCCCTGAGGGAGCAGAACCTGGAGCATTGGAGGGTCTGCAGAGAGCAAGAGGAACCACGGAGATCCAGTAGCAAGGAGAAACCAGGCGAGCAGAGTAAGGAGAAACCAGGCGAGCAGAGTAAGGAGAAAGACCAGAAGAAGGAGAAGGAGAACGTGGTGGTTGTGGTGGTGGATGAAACTAAACAAGACAAGGCAGACAGCAGGGTTGAAGAAAAAGCTCTAGAACCTGCAAGCAAAAAGAAAGATGAGAAAAAAGAGAGAGATGCGGAGAAAACGTGTGAAAATGTGAAACAAAAAGGGATGAGAATTAAAGATGGGAAACAAGGACAAGACTTGGAGGAAGTGGTGGCCAAACTACACCCAGAAGATGTTGAGATTGAGGAAGGAGAAGGGGGGACACTGGGTGGGGAAGGAGGAGGGGAGGGTTGGGACACTGTTCTTGATATGGTCAACACACTTTGGGACGATCACTGGGACAAAAGAGAAGCAGAAGGCGAAGAAGGAGCCGAGACAGATTCTCCCTCTGGCTCCTTGCAGTGCTGGCCTCTGCTCCGGCCCCCGATCGGGTTTGGGGGCTCCCACCCTCCCTCCTCGGCAGCCTCAGAGCTCAGCCTGACGGAGCTGGAGAGGAGGGCTCGAGAGCTGGACTCGGACCTAGAGCACCTGGATCTGTCTCAGCCCCACAGGGAGTCCCAGGATTTATACCAAACCCTGCTGGAGCCACAGAGGGACCGAACCGACATGTACCAAACACACCCCGGTCCACAACGAGACAAAACTATACTCCACGCAGGTAGACATTTGTTTTATTCTTAACATGTTGGTTGTCAATAAAATAAACATCAAATTCAGTTCAGAAACTATCAGTCCCTGGCCCAGTGTTGACAGATTGGGCTGGTGTCCGCCCAATTAGGCTTCTTTTGAACACGTTGGGCTGGAAAAAACAGCTTTGGGCAGGTTGTTAAAATTTGGGCTCCTTTTAACCACATTTGGTGGGTTTTTAGAAAGTATTCTAAAAAATCGACAGCCAGGAAATTATATCAAAATATGAAGTGTTCCTATGAAATGGTATTGGTTAATATCAGCTGTAAACACACCAAATACAGAAGAGACTGGGTTGAGGACCTACCCCCTCCTCCTGCAAAACGAGGGACATTTTACCCAGCCCCATCTGTTTGTTTACAAGTTTACATCCTAAAGATGAGTGTCACTCTCTTTTCAGAGCTACAAAAAACGTAAATACTGATTCAATGCAGATGTGTGCTAATGGTGTATTTTTTATTAGTATAATATACACATGGGTAGGCTATATCAATAATCTAAACTTTTTTTATACTGCACACACAGTCAGAGGTTGAGATTTGGGCAGTTTTTTTTATTTTTATTTTTATTGGTTGGGCGGGTTTTACATTGCGTTTGAGCTGGAAACTGTCAGTCCAATCTGGCAACCCTGGTCCCTGCTGTTCCGTTATGGTTTCTTTAAAAGCTAACCTCATTAAATAATCAACAGATGACTCCTTGAAATGATGGGTTGATGCAGATTATTTCACAGTTGCAAATATCTGACCTGATTAACATGCCTAATTAATAACTGCTCATCATTTAGTCGAAGGTATAAAATGTGTCACTGCAGGAAAAAAAATCTGGTCTTTTTTTCTTAACTTAACAGTACAGATTTGAAATAAACAGAATTGTTTTTTGACAACCTAATTATAAAAATCACAAGTTCTTACAAAGTTCAAAGAAGACGACTTATTGAATTGTTGAATTTCCCTCATTTTCTCTACTTTTCAGGAGTGAGCAGCAGATCCCAGGTCAGTTTGGAGCTCAGTCCGGTGGCTTCGACAGTTTCAGATACAGACAGATATCCCTCCGAATGGTCAGCAAAGTCTCCCGGCACGTCCACCATCGGCACGAGGTAACTTCTGAAACGAGACGATTATCAGCAGTTAATAAGTCTCAGGTGTGCTGCATGAAAACAACATCCAGGTTTTAGCTTAAGCAAAGATGTATGGCAAGATTGCTGATGTGCAAACGTTTCAGGGTTTTATTTTTCTTCTGGGGAGCTGCTGTAGATGTTAACTCCCTGAAGTAAAATACAAGTTTTTATTGTAAAACTTATAACTTATATTTATGCCGAAATAAACACAAGTTGATCCAAAGTCCATGAGAAGATTTGGTGTCTCARTAGTCAGCTTCTTTGCCCATTTTCTTTGTCTTAAATGGCAATAAACTCCTCAGAGTGCAAGAACAGTGCGATAGCCTCCCKTTTGACAGGAGAACAAGAACATTTAGTGCAAACAAGCAGCACGTTAATGTTGGACTGCAGCTCTTTCACTCTATATTTAATTTAATAGCTGTGAAAATGTAAAAATACAATCAGCTTTACTGGGATGAATGAGATATTTAGTTAGCCCATAAAACTTGGTGCTGTGCACTACTCTGCATTTGATGTAACTATTATGAGAACATTTGCAGTCGGTTAAATGAACCATGTGAAGTGGCTACAGGTGTCAAAAGTGTAGACGCCACATCACAGATGTCAAAGGCACACGATTTTATTTGTACCATAATAAGAAGCAGAGAAAACGGCACGACTGAAGTGCCCTTTGCTGAATGTGTCCTTGTCCGATTAAAGTGACAATCAAATTGTCACGACATGAACGCTTTCGGCGGCTAATAATTGCACACAAATGCCACGACCTTCGCCAAATTGGAAAGCTAATGTGCTGATAATGAGGTGTCCATCACTTCAGATGTGTGAGCTGCCATGATGTSTGGAGGTTGAGTGATAAAAATAAATCAATACCTTTGATTTTCTAAAGTAGGTTATTACAGTTTGGATGGGATCTGTGGAAAGTCACATTAGCTTAGCGGACTCATGGGGACGGAGCAGCCATCTGACAGTCTTATCTTTTTTTTCAGCTCTACTAAAGAGGAAAGCTCTCCTGACTCCAACTTAACGCTGGAATCTGACTCCAGCGGCGTCTTCCTCTCCCTGTCCAATCAGAGCCAAGAAGATGGCGGCTCGGACAGCGACCAGCCGATCAGCGGCTCGGAACTGGGCAGCAGCAACACGTCGCTGGAGAAGGARGGGGACGACGGAGGGATGAAAGAATGGGGGAGGGAGGAGAGCGCGGAGCTACAGTGGTGCTACCCATCACTTCTCAACACCACCTCGTGTGAAAATSTGGTAGGAGATGGTGGAGGAGAGGAGTCGGGGTCTGGAGGGATGGTGGTGGATTTGGATGAGAATGGACGAAAAGATGGTGGGATCGGAATGATTCCCATCTATAAGACCCCACTAGAGCATACAGACACCAAAGGCTCCTTAGATGTCCCACAAAGAGAAGGATTACCCCCTAGAAGAAAAGTGACCCTGATGGGAGTAGACTCGCCTCTTGCTCTGCCTCCTTCCAAGCATCCAATCAAACACCTTRTAGATCCGACTCAGAAGCCAATCAGAAGCTTGGGATTAGACTGTGGGGACATTGATCCATTTGTCCAGTCAGACAGCTTTGTTTACCTCGCTGTATCCGCAAGACCTGGCTCCAGGGGTGAAGCCACCTCAGTAGCAGAGGTTTTTACCCACAATGCAAAGCAAGTACACGTACAGCAACATGCAGATAGCTTGAAAGCACAAGTCGACCAGCCAAATATGGAGCGAGACGCCAAACTGACGCACCTTACCCCACAAAAACCAGAAGAAGGAGATTTTCTGTGCACTGATAGCTTTGTTTACCTGGCTGCTCCGGCCTGCCTCCTGCTGGACCCTACGGGAACTGCACCCTACAGTGGCAAGTATGTAGGCAACTTTTGGTGKATCTGTTTAATCATACAACCATCTCTTAAGCTCTCTTGCCARGTATCTATGTGTGGAACATTTTAGAAAGAAATACAGGAGACACACTTTATCTTTGTCTTATATTATGCTTTTAAAGCTTCTGGAAGCATTTAACTCCTATATTTCTGCTCTGCAAAAAAWTGTTGCTACTTTATGTTGGAATTCAAGTTATGCTTGATCTGAATTTTTATCAGAGTGACAGATTTTTGAGCATCCATCAGGACAGAAAACATGGTGATAGTTTGTCAAGAACATATTTTCTGTAACTTTAAAGAGAGTAGATTTGACTATAAGCAGAGGTGCACATAAGCGGTGCGCAGGTGCGCTTGCGCTGTCAAAAAAGGAAAAAGCGCACCATATGGGATGTCATAAAGCTCCCTTGCGT